CGCAGCAAAAGCAATTTTGTCCTGAAAATAATCTGTCGCGCGTGAGACAGAGACTTGTCAAATCGACGATCCTCTTGTCGTTTAAAAAAGAAACGTTTTCAATTTTCAGATAAAGTTTGACAAATAGTATTACATTTCCGTTCTATTGACAAGGCTTCTCGCGACATTGCAAGAAGCTACAGAGAATCTATAAATTAGTGACTGTGAAGGGAAGTGAAATATGGTCTCAAATATCTGTTCGTGAGTTACGCAAATCTGCTTGATATTGAAATATAATAAATATGAGTACAATTCTATTTTTTGTATTTTATTACATATTATCCTCGGATTTCACGCACGTGAAATATATTAAAGATTACAACTTCATCAAAGATAATATTTTTTCTCAATGTGAATTATGCAGCAGCAAGACTGAAAAATCGTTTTCCAAAAGCAGCATGCACACTCACGAACAAACAAACAAAATACTCTCGAATAACACTGCACCCAAATAAATATTTTACCAAAAGCATTCTTCACTCAAACTGCAATAACATAGTATCGTAAATATACAATAGAACAGCTTTTACACATCATGAATATCCAAAAAGTTGCTGTTCCGCAACGAAAACTGTGGAGAGCAAATATTTAATTATCTTATTTGGAGCGGCCTCTTTCTTGTTGTAGCATTATATCACTTCAGTGGCAAACAGTGGCGAACAGTGGCGCACTGAATATAAGAATAGGTCAGTAGGCAGAGTATCAGAATAATTTATTTATTTAACTTCAAAAGCACTTAAAACATGTGTGTGCCTTACTGCAGGGAGATATGGGCTAGGGGAAGAAGTAGAATTTTAAGTAGATCTGTAGGCATCTGTTTAAGATTTGCAATTGTAGTTTCAACCACAAGTAGATAATTGTGAAATGTTTTATTTTTTCAAGTGAGGAAAGAAGTTTGTTGTCGTTAAAAATAAATGAAATTGAGAAAAATAATTATTTCGAAAGCACAAATTAAATATATTATTTCGTACACAATTGTGCAGTTTATACAAAGAGGAATTTTAAGGTAAAAGGCGGCGTCTATGCTTTGTGAAGTTTCTCCACGTAAAAATTGGCATTATGATATGTTTCATACGTACTGTGAATACCACAATAAGTGGTATTAACAACATATCAAATTCACTCCCACATCGCAGAACCAACGTAGCCGATTAAATCGCACAGGGAGTTTGAAAGCCGAATTCAATTCAACTTGCCCTGGTATTTATTTATCGTATTCATCCACTCAAACAGGAAAAGGAACGAATTGTGCCTGTATTGAAGCCCGCCTCGCTTGCCCTGCCTACGCCCAAATCCACCCTGCTCTATTCCACACTTCTCGCCCTATGTCGCCTCGGCTGTCCTGTGTTGCCTGTCCTATGTTCGTATACTAATCGTAATCTTTACATTGTATTTGTAAACAATGTTATCACGGTCCATTTTGTTAATAATATCTAGTTTGTTAATTTATTTTCTTTATTATTTTATATACCACCAGTATGATTTCATTTCATGTCTCTCTATAGTGAGTACGCACGATAGACATTGTAATTGTGTATCCAGATATCAGTTAACACAGGAAAAACGCCATTGTTGAACACAATAGTCGGCAGCATGATGGAGAAGCGTCTTATGAAAAATCTTATTACTACAAAACAATCGGAAATAGATAAGCATCTCTTTGGAAGTGAGTTCTTCATTTACCCATTTCTTATTCGCATCTTTATTATAGTAGTACTATTATATCAGGTTATTATCATCACTTAAATCGTCTTATTTATATTTTCAGTGTTGTATATTAGTAGTGTGGGTTGGCGTTGTATCTCATGTACTAGTGTGGCTGTTTTCCTGACCGCCTTATCCTGTCTTGTTCACTACTATCGCCGCTGGCATCATGCTGAAGATTACGTACCGTTTCAAAAGTGTAAGAAAACCCCTTTTTAAAAACGTAAATGGGACTACAATCAGCTCTTAACTGAACAATCTAATTCTCCACATAAAAAAGATGCCCAGCGACTTCGTACCCATGATATCGCCAGAACTGGTTACTTACCTCTCCAGCAGAATGTGCTTGACGTGGACATGAAAAAAAAAGAATGTTTATATAGCTTATTCAATCATGTGAGTTACATCTGTGGCCATCGGGGTCTTCCAGCTTTCAAGTAACACTTCATTTGCTGAGATAGATTGAGTAGTTCGTGCGTAAAAGGGAAAAACGTTAACACGTTTTAGAAATATAACTTTAGAAATTTAGAATATTATATAAGATAGTGAAAAATTTCCTATCTCCCGAACCCGAAATATTTAATAAAATTTTAAGAACTGGATTTTATCTTATTAGTTTAATTTAATTTATTGAACTTTATACTTATTTTTCGTTCTCTTCGTTTTTCTTTCCGCCTTTTAATAATATTTGCCTCGCCTTCCCCATAATTTCAATACGACGAAATGCACAATTAAGTGAAAATTTCTTCTCATGACGTAAAACAAAACAAAATCATGCCAGTTTTGTTTTCCTTTACCTCTCTTTCTTAACAACTTTGATCATCGTTGAAGAGATTTTTTCCAAAGGGAAAACGTCGGTCGATGTCAAAGGGACACATCTCACAGAAATACCATTTTTAACGGAGAAAGTTATTACTTTCTCTCTGAAAAATTCGGCCATAGAGATCAAAATAGAATTCAACAGATTTCAGATATCAGTTAACACAGGAGAAACGCCATTGTTGAACACAATAATCAGCAGCATGTTGGAGAGGCATCTTAGGAAAAATCTTAATACTACAAATCAATCGGAAACAAATAAGCGCCTCTTTGGAAGTGAGCTCTTCAATTACCCATTTCTTACCCGCATCTTTACTTAACATTTCCTTTTTAAAATTCAAAACCCAGATTCATCACGCCTTGTTGCAAAATGTTGCCAGAGCAGGGCATAGGACGCGGCGCGAAATGCGATTATCAGTCAACAGGCCCTCAGCAAAATGTCCACTACAAAAATATCCACCACCACATAGGAAATGCTCGTGAGTATAATGTCCACATCATTAGAGATCCAATATTGTTCCGTCAAAATTATTTATATGACTATTGCAGAAGCGTCCACGTATCTAAATGACCATTGAATGTCCATTAATGTATTTTCATTTGTATTCTTCTACAGGGTCAACATGCAGCTCCAAGTTATATGATTGTGTTTCACATTGTTGTAGTTGTAATTTCGGTAGGACAAAATTATTGGTTTTATTATTATTATTATTATTATTATTATTATTATTATTATTATTTCTCCAATGCTCTGTTAATTTGTTACAAAAGATATTCCCTCTTAATTGAACGTGGGGCATCAATTGTTCAATTTGAATTTGTTTCAATATTTTTTCTGTATTATATTAATTTGGAATATTTTATAAATATCTCCAAAGTTCATATGACGTCCTGGAAACATTCATCGAAATTTAGAATTGAACCTTTCCAAAATATTGTTATTTCTATAAACAGCTAGTAATAAACGAGATTGTTGTTGAAGGTAATGTATTTTAAACGAAAAAATATGGACTTCAACTCATTTCGAAGGCTCTCTGCTGTCCGGGTAACTCCACGTCGAGGGCAGTTATGCCAACGTTTCGATCATAATGTCGTGGTCTTCTTCAAGACTGCTGCTCAGCCCTGAAGAAGGCCACGTTGTGATGGTCGAAACGTAGGCATCACTGACCTCGACGCGGCGTCACCCGGACAGCAGAGAGCCTTCACACGACTCTGGCCGAAGAGCCTACTATTGCCTTACTAACTTTGCGCGTTCTTGCACATTGGACATTTGCTTAGTGATTCCGGGCACGTCAACAACTAAGGTCAATAGTCTCCTAAGTGTAATGCATGTTTTTGTGCGAGGGAGGAGACGGTGATCTTTCCCCCACTGTATGGCGAGATCCGGCGCCGACCTACCGTCGGCTAGCGAGGTTTTCCCCTACCAGGTATCTCCCACCAGCGGGTGACCGCTCCAGCCTGGACAACCTCAAAGCTTCCAACCGGTCTTTCGGCTAGTACGGTATTGTAGTGTATGTTAGTATGTGTGTGTGTGTAAGGGGGTGCGGTTAGGGCAAGGAAGAGGAAGGAAAGATCGTGCGTGGTCCGTGGCCCGTTGTTAGGGTACTGCACCGGCATTCGCCTGGTGTTGATCGGAGAAACCACGGAAAACTACCGATCAAGTAGCCGGCCGCTAGAATTCCCTTCCAGACAGCGGGTAAACGCGACCTAGCTGAGAAGCTAGTGTCGAAAATCCTGCCACCCTCGGGACTCGAACCTACGACCTCCCGGTCAGAGGCACTGGAGTGACATCAGTTGATGTCCTGAGCCATCTCTCCCTGTTTGTGGACATCATTCGGTGGACTTAGTTGCCTGGGCATTTTTCTGGTAGACTTAGTGTTTATTGGACATTACTCAGTAGACCAAATTGTCCCGAAAGCCAAAGTACGCCATATTCCGCAGCGCTCGCGCCAATGGCGTAGCTTCAGTAGGAGCCACGTGGGGCAAAGCTAATGGTATCCCCTCATTAATCAAATATAAAAAAATAGTTTATACATTATTTAATAAGAAAATAAGTATATTTGCAGCCCACATGTATCAATAATATATTAAAAGACTGTATGTAATTCAGAATAACTTATATGCAGTTTTTAATTTATAATAATAAAAAATATGTTATTGAATAGTTTATATATTATTTAATAAGAAAACAATAGTTGCACGTGACGTAAATATATATGTGCACGTGAATTTAACTATAATGTATTAAAAAATGTGTAATTCAGAATAACTGATACACAATTTTTTTATTAATATTTTTTTAAATTTTTTGTTAATTATTTAATTAGAAATTATTTAAAAATAATTATATAATTCCAATTATAATTTTTTTAAATTGGCGTCACCCCTAAAGCGGCGACACCCGGGGCGGACCGCCACCCCCCACCTGCCTCCTCTAACTACGCCACCGGCTCCGGCCACACGACGGCCTCGATCCAGGGCGCGAAGTGGGAGACGCGCGTGTAGACGGCGGGAGCGTGGGGCGCGCCGCACAGCACCTTCCCGAAGCTCGTCACGCCCACCACCGCGAACACGCACGGCCGCGTGTGCGGCAGCTTCACCTGCAGCGGGCCCCCGGAGTCGCCCTGCAACACACACAGCCCCCAGGAGGAAGTTCAGAGGAGGTTATGTAAAGGCTTTAACAGAGCGGCGCGGGAGATCCGCAGCGGGTGCGGCGCGGAAAGTTCCGCGGTAGACGCGGCGGCGAAATCCACGGACCCGATCACACCGGAGCGTCAATTATGACTCAGCGTTTGGTGACAGTTTTCCTCATCCGATAAACAAAGGCAAGGGGAGCTCGATCCAGAGGGGAGCGAAGACTCCGGAAGGCAGGCATACGTCCACGAAACTCGAACGGCAGCGGTCGAAACGCGCCCGACTGCGTTCCCAAATCCGCAGGTAAGAAAACGCTGCCGCGCAGGTCTGAACGTGCTCATAAGGCAACACGTGACGCGAAATTTCTACTGCGGCCATTCCGCATAGACTGCGGGTATTCCGCGCTGGTCTGTGGAAGTCTTAATGCTGCAAGAGTTATGATACGAGTGGTTGAAGTGACATTTTACTTGGCGAGGCCGATAGGCAGAATGTCACAATTCTACGAGCAAAATTAAATCACTTTTACCATGTGTATCATACACTATTTTTAGACCCCTTCACTGACTTCCATTTTATTTTATTTTTTTTATATTTTGTATTTCGACAATGTGTGTTCCGTTAGGGCTCCCGGGCTCCTAGTCAGTCACCAAATCAGAAATCGCCAATGTCTCGAATTCACTTAAACTTCGTCCCTTCGCGTAGTTAACTAATTCGGCTAGCGATGCCGGTTTCGCGATTGTTGACTTTCATTAGAATTATCCCAGCATTCGTCTGAATGACCGAGGGAAACCACGAAAACCAGGACGGGTATTGAACCCTGGCCTCACGAATACGAAGTTAGCGCGCTGCGCCCAGAGTCACTTCGCTCAGTTCTATTTTAACACAAGCATATAAATCACTGTACTATTAAGGTCATGATGTAATCATGAAAGTCAGCTTAGATCGCATCAGTTAGATCGCATAGCTGATATGATAAGGCGAAAGTATTTTGTTTTCACAATTTCATCTAAATATTTGAGCCCATTTTCAACACTAGCGTCGCAATAGCATACCCTATAAATAAACCTACACTTGCATACACTTAAAGTTATTGATTTTATTAGGGCTGTATAAAAATAGTTACACAAATCACTTAATTATATGTTAATATCAGTAGTAGCTGATGTGGTTAGACGAAAAATATTTCGTGATTTTAACTGTCAATGAAAAACACTAGTCTATGAAAAACACTAGCCCATAACCCTACACAGTATATTCACTAAAATTGATATTCCTCAATAAATATTTATCACAGTTCTTTAAGTTTGAAACGGATTTAAAGTTTTGGGATGTACTTCACATAAAGACTTTGATACTTAAAATATAAAAAAAGGTAAAATTGCCCCCTTTTCCCAGTTTTTATGCTCAAATAGAGAAAAATACGCCTATAAAAATTGCACGGATCTGAATTTCAGTAATACCTCCAAGTATTAAAAAATTATGATAGTTACGAAAATTTTGCACCTTCTCTTCCAACTACATTATTGAAAATAGAAGTTGTTTACTTATCGTCCTTATTTTCTAGTGTCCTTTTCAAGGGCAGAAATAAAATATCGGTATTATCTCAATAAATCGGTATATATCTCAGTATATCAGTATATATCTCATATATACTCAATATCTCAATAGATATATCTCAATATATCTCAAAATATCGGTATTATCTAGAATTTTTGAACGTAAAATTCGTGTTTGTGGTTCTTTAGGCTGTGACCTCGCCGGATGGAGCGCCTTGCCGTTCAAATTTTCGATGAACTACGAATTTCCGCAAATTGCAAAAGTTAAAAATAATTTCATTTCATTATTGTTCTGCCTTTGTCGGTGTCATGCAAATGAAAGGGAACCAAAATTGTTGGTTGTCGAGACATGTAAATTTTGTTAACTTGTTTAAACGGATAATTTAAACATTTTAATTCTTTTAGTATATCGGTTTTTAGGATTGGCTGTGGAACATGTCGTATTATTACAGATAGTAGATTGGATTGAAGAAGAGAGTGTGGGTTTATAATTTAAATTGTGTGTATTTTTTAATATGATAAGTTAGATCACGAGATAACTTCACTAATGTTTGGTCAGTTCGTAACAGGATTTAGGATTTGTTTACGTATAGTAATATAAATTAGATAATTCACTTTAGTGTAGAAGTAAAACCGATGGAATTTGTTCAAATGTACGTTTTGGAGGTTATGGAACTTCTTATTCCTCGAATAATTGTGCTGCGTCAACACAATTCCAAGTTGGAATTCTTAAACACTGCGTAACCGGGCTTGCAGTCTGTTTGGAATTTGTTTCAATGTCTGTAAGGTTAGCTGATCTTTTTCGAGGCATTAAAGCATTTGAGGAACAAACATTTTGCAACGCATTTTGCATTGTTCTTGTTGATTAGTAGAAATATCCATTTGCTGCTGTTGTGGTTGCGGTATTTTAGCCCACTGTTGTGAATTTAGATGTTTATTCACTGATGTCATTGGGTTTGTTGAAGAACTCTGCCTATACCTGGTCGGTCGTTACCTTGCGGCGGAGTTTGTGGTTGACCTTCCTGCACGGCAGGAAGGCCATGAGACAACACCTGTGGCTGGGGTGGCTGCGGCGGCTGTGGGCGTGGCATTTTTCGGAGTTGTAGATTTGGAATGGTTGTTTCTGTCGAATACGCCACTAGGGAAATTGTTTTTGGATTTCCAGTTGCATTTGTGGATGTTCTTAAATTGACGGAGTCTCGTTTCTCGTTGCTGCGTCGGCCTCCGGGTCGTTGTGTGTAGAGCCACGAGAGCACTACGGATAGTTTGCAGTGTTGGGGCTATTTGTTGTAGATAAGAACTGTTATTAGATGTAAGACTACACTTCTTCATAGTTTTTGAAGTTACTATCAATAACACTAACACATTTGTGCGGAAAACAGCTGTGGTCCGGCCCTACTATCGCTACAGGATGTCACATAAGTTAGCTGAAGCAGAGCGGATACTCATGAAAGACGTCTACAACGCTCAACAGTCAAGTGCTGAATAAAATGAGCAATTGCATTCTCTCCACAAATATCCATTCTGGACCACATTACTTCGAGTACGTGAGAGCAGTCCAAGCTATTTTTTTCACTAGAGAAACTTGCAGGAATTTTTTTGATTTTTCCGAAATTTAATTATTAATTTATACATCACAAATATCGTTGGGTTGTAGCCAATTATTTCCCCGTATAATCACGGGAAACACTTAGAAGGTAACAATTCTCATTTGAATCTAACATTACCCTTTGTTACTTATGATGTTTAAAATGTATGACATAGACGAACGTTTCAAACCAAGGAATTGGAATTAGAGGCACTACAATACGACAGTTTTCGGCGACCTGAAATTAAAATATCTAAAAGCAGCCACGGGTTTTTTATAACGTGTAGAATTTTCTCTTCAATCTGTAAATTGATAGTTGAATCCTATGCGAGAAAGATTCTATTTTGTATGAGATATTGTATTCGGCGTGCATACAATAAATTCATTGCTTGTTTGAATAAAAGATATGAAGTTAAAGAATAATGGTAATTATTTTACTTTCTTACCTTGCAAGTGTCTTGACCGCCTTCTAATCTTCCTGCGCATATCATGGATTCATCCTTGACACCATCATTAAGTTCGGAACTTTTCTTATCACCAGAATATGCTTTGATGCACACATCCACTTTTTGAATATCGAGATTGACTTTCATCAAATGTTCACTGCCGTCGTCGATCACTGCAGAAAATAAAACAAGCACTCATAATATTATGTTATGGTATAGGAGAATAAAATGTGCTTAATCTTGGGTTTGCGGTGCCCCTCACGGCTCC